ACTTTTTAAAGAAAACGTTGCTTTAAGAGACAGTTCAAAATGACTTGATAAGATGAAGATGTGTGCAGAGATGCATGAGGTAGCGCAAGGTTACATTATATGGGGCAGTGGTTTCTTCTTCCCATCTGCTCTCAAAGACACCCAGTGGATATGGGAGCAATCCATCTAAAGTTACCTAATGAAAAACAGAATGAGGCTAGGTAGACAGAGGTTTCAGTGAGAGGGGGGGAAGTGCTTGATGGTTGATGGCCAATTGTCTCCAATGTAATCTCCATTCTTGTGGATGGGTTTTCAGTGTGGGTGTCCTGTACAAGGGCATTTGGCTGCCCGCAGAACTACATTATATATAGTTGACTCTTTGGAGAGTCTTGACACACACACATTCATGTGAGGTCACAGAGATACACACATATGCACTGATATGTGTGGAAACAGAGAGCAAGACAGAACAGCGTGTGATTCATATGTGGGATTATCAGCACACTAAAGTCAAGCTGTCCCAGACAGACATCGAAACAGAAACTCTACATTCCCAGCATGCTGCACAGGTCTGTCGCCTGTCCTCCACCTTGCTTTGTCTCCCTGAGGTGCCAGTCTTTCAGTGCACCCGTACCCTGCCCCTTGCACAGCAGCTGTGATGACTACCCACGATGGGCCCTGTCATGTCTTAATCCATCTGATGCTCCAGGCACCAAACATGAGGTTGAAGAGAAGGAAAGACAGGTTTCTGGATCTAGAGAATCCAGAGAGGACAGTCTGAGCCTCAGGCGGTCCAGAACCGCAGGCATGTCAGCTGGACAAACATACATGGCTAGTGTGGATAAATAATCATACTGTTAGTCGTCATGTAACTCGACTGTTGCCACTGGTGTCCATTAGTCAAGGTTGGCTTTTAAAAAGAAAATGTACACCTTAGATCCACTATTTGATTTACTCATTTTTCTCTCACTTGTATATCAGATTACTTTGAGTGCTAGATCTGATAGCAATGCTTCACTGTCTATCATACCAAGCAAAGGGAATAGTCTTGGGAGCAGTGCAAGTGCGATAATGGTGATGAGGGGAAAAGAGAAGGGCCCAGCTGTTTAGTCTGTCACCACATTCTCATGCAGAGCAGGATTCAACTGTTGGGGAGAGGAGGGAATAGGGAAAACTTTCATTGCTTCATGTAGAATTACTTATTTCTCTATGGATCCAGACAAATATATGCAAACACATGAGTAGGACATGGAGGAATTTTCGATTTTCTGATACTGTGGTGCAGATGACACAAAAACTCGTCCAATAGAACTTTATGCCATTATTTTTTCCTGCATCTAAACATACTTTTTTTACTCGGTTATATGCACAGTGGTCACTGATTCCACTGTTTTCTTTCTAGTGTCCATCTGTTTGTTTAAAGTAGATACACAAAACCATCCTTAGATTCCTGTTTTGTCTTGGATGTTGATGAGGATGTCACTCACTCCTGTTTCCAGGGAAAGAATATACACAGGTGTGCATACTGCACACACACTTCACTCATAGCATGTATTATTTCCCAGTTATACACTTAGTCAGACTCTGTGTAGTAATGGATGACAATGCCCCTGTTACAATGCACCATTTTTAATCTTCTAGTACTAAACTTGCTGTGTTACCAGGCAGTGAAGAAGGATGGGGGGATAAAATGAGGTGAAGGTAAACAAAACAAAAGGAGGGAATTAAGGGAACAGATGTGAAAAAAATGGGAACAGGAAAGGGGTAAGAAACAATTGACAGAAACACATTTTGGAAAAAAGGAACAGGGAAACAAAGCCTGGAGGAAAAATGACTGGATTGGGAGACAAGAAGGAGGGTGTTATGGTGCAAGGAAAGAATGGGGTATGGAAGGAATTAGGGAGTAAGAACTCAAAAGGAAGGTAAGAATGAGGAATGAAGTGTGGATGAATGATCGTTAGAGAACAAGGGAACAAAAAGCAGAGAAGATTGGTTAAAGAGGAAGTAGGAAGGAATAAATGACTGAGTAGGACAAGGAAAAGGGATTAATGAAAGAATGGAAGCAGTATAGAAATGGAAAGGCTCAGAGGAAAAGGAGGGTGAAATTATTAGTTTCCTGATTGCAGTGTCTGACAGCTGCCACTAGAGGGAGAACTCCATCTCTCGATTTGATAGTTCTTATCAACAGCCTTTGCATGATAACATAGATCCTTCATGGGATTAAGTTACTGGAAGTGGCTGCCTCAGTGTGATTCACACAAGAGCATTAGAAGAGGGAGGAGATTTAGTCAGGATTTGGGGAACGAGATAGCAGATGCAGCAGTAGGAGGAGAACATACATACATGCACAAGATTGATTCATCTCACTAAAGACTACTGCCTCCCACTATTTGCCTTTTGCTCCATTATTATTTTATCACCTTTTTGCAACAACTGCCTCACCACCACCACACCTATCTCGTTCTGCCATCGTTCCCCTTACTCTCTCATTGTGTTGCCAGCAGCATCTGTCTCTCCTCCCCTAATTCAGTGATTGTTACAGAGTGGCCATGCCATTTCTTAAATGGGGTCGTGAGTGTGCCACACTATAACTGCTGCACTGCCTTTCCAGACAGCATAGTAGTACCTAGCTAATGTTTAGTGCTAGGTGAACACATGCATATAATTGGTCACACTAAAATGCTGCAATTCAGTTTTTTTGTTAATTTAGAGCAGGTTGCTGCTATTACAGATAAGAAAAGTACAGTATGTTGCTTTATATGTGTGTGTGTGTGTGTGTGTGTATCTGTAGTCAGAGGTAAACCACCAATGAAATGAGATTCTGTCTTTAAAATGTAGGTTTCACATCACTGAAAACTACTAGAAATATTTTTAAAACTTCTAGATTTTTTAGACCCCCTGTAGGGTTAATTGAGGCTTTATTGCAAGTAATAAAAAGCATAATTACTGGCAATTACACATTCTAGAAAGATAAAAACAGCCATTAACAATTTATGTGCTTCATCCTATCTGTCACTTCCTAAGTCAGTTCACACCCACGTGAACACACGGAGCTTCAAGTGCGGTTTCTGAATGACACTGAGTCATATGCTGCGTTGGAACCACCTACCCATACATGCTCATCCTGCTTCTTCATCTACCTGCCTCTGTCACTCATTCCTGCCTTCTTCCTTTTACTACCTTTCTTTCTCATCTTTGTTCACATTATCTTTTTCATCGTGGGCATCTTCCTCATGCTCAAACTGTGTATGTTCATATACAGTAACCTCAGTTACTGTGTGATCCATTATTGGGCAGGGCAGTGTGAGCAGAGAGACCCCTGGGGAGTGAAAGCGGGTACTGCAGAACTGAGAGTTGGTTTCTTTAAGATCACTCCAGCAGCACGAAGTAGTCTGGGGAGCATAATCAAAGTATGCTAGTTAGGATGCAGGATATACATCAGAGTACCTCTGCGTGCTGTTTAAACTATGGTTCCAAACACTCCCTCACTTTCTGACTTGCTGTAGATAATTTCAGCAGTGTTTGTCAAGCCCAGTGGCTCTTCAGCATTTCATATCACAAAACCAGTAAAACAGCTGGGCCCAAACTCTAATTTGCTTAGGCTGTGTTTTCAGAGACTCTTAAGATAATGTTCAGTGGTGATTTAGGGCAAAAGCACAGCTTCAGTTCATTACAAAAACATCCACTGTACTTTACCACACTAGTGTATTTGGGCTCACTTTGGTTCACAGAATCAGGAGAAAGTAGTAGTAACTCATAAGTTGATTGATTTTTCTGAGTTCAATGGTGCTTGGAGTTGTAGGGGGTGATTAAGTACGCTTCAAACATGGGCTGCATGAATTGACCACTCCCTCAGTGCTGAATGATATCACCATGTATGTAGCTAGTGACACGTTTGATTCAATTTCTCAGACACAGAGACAATCAAATTGGATAATTGCCCATGTATTATAGTTATAATAGTGTAATCTAGGACCTCTCTGGAATTTTTTCTCTCCTAGTTCTCTCATTTTAGCGTTTAATCTGCAGAGATTGCTGTTTGACATAGACAATAACTCCTAATTAAGCCTCTGACATTGCCACCACATTAGACTTCATCAAGCCCCCAGCCAGACACCATCAGGCCTCATCCCCCCGAATTCCAGCTCCATCTCTGTTGACAGTGTTGGGAAATGTAGGTAACATGACCCCAAGGTTGAATGAAGAGAAGTTGAAGGGATAATAAGTTTGTACAGCTGCTCTGAAACTTTGCTGACATGCTGATGAAGTGATGCTAATTGCCAAGTGCTACTGAGAAGTGCTCAATTACAGGATAAGGCAAAAACCTGAGAAAAACAGAGTGCTGATAGTTTCAGTAATCCTTTTCACTTTAGTTCAAGTAGAAGAATTGGATTCAAAGTGAAGGTGTGCTCCACGGGCAGCATGCCATCGTGTTGTCAGATTTGGGGAGGTGGTAATTTGGTAATCAGTGACTCTTTGTGTGCATTGGGAACTAAGATGTGTCTTCCTTGAAACAACCATGAAATGTGTTTTAGTTCTGTGTGATTATCTCATGGTTATGTGAAGTAACAGTGTTTTATTGCTGACAATGAAATGTCTTTTTTCTGCTTTATTCATCCACAGTGTAGTAATTCTGTTGTTCACTGATTCCTGGATCTGTGTTATTCTAGCTTAATTTACTTCATTACTGTTAATGCATTTCTAAAGGTTATTCTCTTTGCGTATAGCAGTACATTAGCACTACAAATGTAATCGTACTATATCTAAATAATTCATAAATCTGTTTAACTTGCTAGTACTTTTAAAAATCATTTAAACTGAATGTAACTAGAATGCTGTTAACTCTAATCAAACAAACCAGCCCAAAAACACATCCTCAAGTTCTTCCTGTCCTAACTAAAGCTGATTTAAAGTACATAACTTGCTAAACATTTGCCATGTTGCCCTTCTAACTTCTAACCTTTCAACTTCCAGATTTTTTTGTAACCTTTCTTAATTTGTCTTCTCCAAATTTCTTAAAGGGAACTTTGATAATGAGCGCCTGGCTATTGCTAGACAAAGAATCCCATACCGACTCGGTCGGGTAGTTGACGAGTGGCTACTCGACAAAGGTAATAAAATCCCTTTAACTCCACTAATGATCTAACCGCCTAACCTACCGTTAACCACCACTCTGGAGGAGGTGCAGTGCCACAAGGGTGATGTGATTTGGCTCTTTAACAGAATTGTCGGTCCCCTATAATCCACTGCTTAGATTTAACATGCCTAATAATGATTGGCTAATACAGTATATAACAGTTATTCTCAATTGGTACCTGAAAAACAACCAGGAAATCAGGCACTGTTGGAAGATATATTATTTTCTATCAAACATTTGCCATATTTACCTACTAGCACACCCAGCTGAAGCTGTTCATCATGTAATAACTGGCATTTGAAAAAGATTACAGCATATAGTTTTTAACAATGACCATTCTCTAATATTAGGTGGACAAATATTCAAGGGACCACATCCAAAGCACCTTAAAGTGGTGCTGCATCTCTTCAGAGAATTAACCCCCAATTAACCCAACATAACCCCCTAAAAACCTGACCACATGTTTATATGTATATATAAATAGCCTATTGATTCCGTTTGCCTCCTTCTTGTCTTTGTTGGCTGAATGTGAACTTTATGAAAACATAAAAAACATGAATTTCTTACTGAATTTTCAAGAAAAAAAGGACCCCTCCCCCCCCCGAAAGTCACTAAAAGTTAAAGGGACTCTTGAAGCGTTTGTTCAATAATCAGTCCACATTCATTGCAGCATGTGGACGCCATTTTTCTGCCCAACATTATGCATCACTAGTGTCGAATGTGGTTCTTTAACCCTTTGAGTGCTAAATGTCCCGACCTCTTTGTCTGTCTTGTGCCATATGTTTGTGCTGCTGAAGGTGGTTGATTCTTCACAAAGAGAGGAATAGAGAGAATACAATTAAACAGAAAGATAGATTGTGTTGAAGCAAAAAGCACCACAGACATTTATGTTTTATGCACTTGTGAAGTCTGATAGTTTAAAATCAAGAAGGAAGATAATAGCACATTGACTTCCATTTAGCATAATAAAACCAAATGTACTGTATAAGGATAAGAACTTTTACTAATGGATGTTTTACTGTAGGTTATCAATGTCCAAAGTTTTCAGATTTTACAATAAGGTTTGCATTAGCTTTTCTTTTTTACATGACAGATGTATTGTGATGATCAGGAAATAAGAGTTTCAAGCATTATCCAATTAGCTTTAGGTGCCCCTTTGAAATGGTATTGGGAATAATAACACATGCAAGGATGAATTCAGAAGATAAAACTTTGTAAAATGAAGTATTCATGCAACAAACAAGATAAATGAAGCGCTTGCATATTTAATTCATGGAAACAAAACTATTCTTGCATTCATCTCCAGTTCCTATAAACTGACTGTTCTCAGGGAATTCACTTCAGCTGAGGGTAGTTGGGACACAAATAAGAATTAAACACCCTTGGGAGATGAAAATTGAATAACTGGATCAATAAAAATGACTTGCCCACTAATGAAATAATTTGAAATGGAATGGGCTTAAAACTGGATGTATTATTCTCTTTATTCTTTAGTTTGGAAGAAGTGATTAAAATGAGAGCATTGAGAAGAAGCAGGAATACAAATTAAAAAAATAATCCTCATCAAACCTAAAATGAGGTATGTTGTCGTGCAAGGTTGCCTATTTGTTTATTTGACAGGATTGGATATGTTAAAGAAATGTTATACACATGCTGTGGTTGAAGAGGCAAATTAGTTTTGGAAAATCATTACTAAGATGACATAAAGGACATAATAGTCTAGATAATGAGGGGATTAGTGGACATTTCCAAGCTCAAAGGGTTAAAGCAGTTTGTTGCTTTGATAAGGAAGCGACTAGATCCGAAATCTAAGAAACTTCAAAGCAGAATCTAACCACCTAACAGCAAATCAAACTCCACCCACACTAACTGCTGAGGGCTTCTCTAATGACTCCCCATCTTCCATTGATAGTTTGGCAACGATTTGTCACGTTTTCCTGCTTTGTGCTGCTGGTGACAAATTCAGAGAGCCCTCAGTTATAACCTTGTTATAAATGATGTTTAACATTTGAACGCAATTGGACCTGGATATCAGTATTTGGAAGAACTTGGACTGGTTGGAGCGATCACTCGGGACAAAAAACTAAATAAAAAACTAACTAAGTTCTAACTACTACTAAAAGGCAACAAAATACAAAAATCTCCCAAGTGGCTACTTCCCCTTGTCTGCACTTCCATGAAATCCAAAACTCAGAGGGTTAAAACAAAGCACATAACTGAACACCAAATTCAGACGCATGACGCACCTGCTCTGGAAGAAAGGTCCCTTTAACATTTATTGTTTTCACCACTCAGGAAATGGAAAATGTTTTGAATATTCTGTGAATGGTATGTGTGTGTGTGTGTGTGTTTTATTATGGACTGATGTGGTAAACAGCCTGGATCATTCATCCTATAATAGATGTCTTATTATGGTCCAGGTTGTATTACCAGTATGGGGTTTTGGTCTCTAATCTTGGGTGGTCTGGTGGTTTTATTACATCTGTGCCTCAAAAGGTCTTAACATGCTTCAGAGTCCACAAACCAATCAGCCTCGTGGGTCTCCTCTCCAACAGCTTTTAAGGTTTCATCAATTCAGTAAAATTCAATGTAGCATGAAAAACTTAATCTTTCAGATCTCGTTGGAACTAATCGCTCGCAGTAATTCTCACAAATCAGTATTTTGGTCACATCAGGGTATAATGGAAGTCACTGGAGCCGGCAGTGTCCTAGAGGAGAGCTGTGCTGTGGCGCTGCATCTCATTCCGAAGCCCTTATCCCATCTCCCCTACTGCGTGAGGCAGATCAGAGTGAGCATATCTGGCCAACTTTGTGCCTGCTGACTAAATCCAAAAGGGCAACCATTACCGGAAGCCAATGGAGGATAAAAATCTTGAGTTCCAGAAGTTTTCCCAGCTCTGTCTGAGCCAAAATTTACTCCAATTTGTCAACTTATTCTTGTCTTTCTCTCCTTGTCATCACAGGTTTTCTCATTTTTATTTACCCTTCCCACCCCTCACTCAGCTTTAATCCACCTCTTTTTTCTCTGCCTGTCTTCCTCAAAAGCTTGGCAAGACCCCCTACATCAATGTAGCCTTTTCCTAGAAACAGTAATAATGTGTTTCAGCTTCTTGTTCTCATCAGGGAGCCCCACTGGAAAATACAAATTAAGAATAACCAGCAAGAATCAATGTCCCTTAGTTGTTACTTTAGCAGATGAGCAAGGAAATGAATAAAGCTCCCTGAGAGAATTGGAGCTTTACATCTTTTTCTGGCAAGGAGTCTATCCCTGTGGAGCTCCCCAACAGCGTGGCGATCAAGCTCTGACTTGAGCTACATCTGTGCTGGGATGAGGAGAAAGGAGGAATACCAGGACATCGGGTCTCTGTGGCCTAAAAGCAAAGCTGAAGAACTAGGTTTAATGTTCAGTGTTTAATGATCTGGTGTGAGCTCCCCCACTCCCTAATCGAAAGCAGTCAAGTCCTCCCACTTGGTGTGGGGCCAGAGCCCCAATCAAAATCTCTAGGCCAGGCACTGATCCAGATCAGCTGTTCATGATTCTGGCTTCATTTCAGAGATTCTCTCTGATCATGACACAGTCAACAGAGACCAAATCCATCTGAGTCTGTCTTTCAGCACCCTCATGATGAGCTTTGTGTCCTGCTGAGTTACTATCTTGTTTTCTCATTTGATCTCTCTGTGTTATTATGGCCATATTTGAGTAAAGTCGGGGGGAAATCATATGAATTTTAACGTGTTTGCTCATGAACAAAAAAAGCGGCTGCAAGAAAGCAGTTCTGTAGCTGAAAAGATGGGACACTTTGCTGTTATTTCATGGTCTCCTACCATGTAATGGCCTAAAACACCACAGTCACAGTTGGAGTGAATAAAAAGAAAGGGGACTGTCTCTAGCTAACCACTGTGCTCTCTCTGTCTTCGTCTCTCTCCCTCAACAGTATCACTTGTTTAAGATCCACATAAAGATACAGGATCAGAGATAGAGCCACATCTGATTAATTCCACTGCTCTCTCCAGTGTGCTGATGATTCACCGTCACAATCTCTGCACCCTCAGCTGCCTTCAAGGACCTCAGTGCCCCACAGTGCCTCACAAGGCTTTAAGTCCAACTTCATGCTGCATTTGGCCCTTCATCTCCATTGTCAAACACAATTAATGCACAGTGTTTTACCCAAACCAGCCCAACTCCTGAGGAGTGGAAAAGCAAAATGCTCTTAATTACCAAAGAGAGCCTTGCGCCGAGAAGATAACATGGGAACACTTCATAATCGACTTTGTCAGCATCCCACCCCACCTCCTTGTGTGCTAGTCTTCTTCTGCTTTCTCCCTCCTCATTGTCTTTTTTCTTTAGAGAGGAAAGTGAAAATAAGCGGAGTTCTTGTTTGTTGATACACATGCTAGAATTTCTGCTGGGACATGAAGGATTTGTGAACGTGCAAACAGTCCAGTGTTATGTTGTGCACATCACAAAACAGTCTGTTGGCAGAAGTCAATTCTGGGCCATCCCTCCCACCCTGAAACTGAGCTAACAGAACACAATTCAGATAAAATTCTCTTGCAACCATATGGCATCCCTCCTCTCTGTGAGATAACAGAACAAGAAGGAGGATGAGAGAGGTGTAATGATGACGGTGGTGAGAGAAAGCTGCCTCTCTCTCCTGCTGCAGTCCTTTTCATATACCCTGAACATGGGTACACTGAGATCATTCTTTCCTTTCCTTTCACCTCCACGTCCCTCACTTTCTCTCCAGTCTCCCTTTTCTTTCCTCCATCCACCACCTCCTCCGCAGAAGGGGAAAGGCTATGCCTGGTGAGAGCACAGTATTAGGCCTGGCCTCCTCTCCACCTTACACCTACATTCTGGGGGTTGTAGCCGACATACATCCATTATTTCACAGCCCCCGACAAGCAATCTGTGCATTAACAAGCCGAGCATGGCCCAGGCCCAGCCCACTCCTCAGCTTGGCTCGGCTCAAC